TAATTTCCGGCAATTATTGATTATCGATATTCGTATGTTCATAATATTTATCTTTCAATGAAGTACTATGATGCCTTAGAATATGATATGCATGTGTGTTATTCCTGAAATACGTGTATGTATGTGTGTGTGTGTGTATGATTTACTAACTTGTTTTGGAGTGTAAAAAAACAATGGATACTACTTAGTTTAAAAACATAAAATTCAGTGAAGTAATTTCTTTCCTTTTCCAATAAATCTATTACATCACTTATATTCATTGTCTCACTTCATTCACTTATATTCATTTCCCCACAAAATTGTTCCTTAAACGTTCATATATATGTATATACAATTGTATAGCATGATACTAAGTTCTTTGAAAAGAAATCCTTTTGATCAATTTCCTGCTGTTAATATTACTCACACCCATTGGAATGATTGTTATAACTAGCCTAGTGTTTCAATTACTGAAATAGTGTGACAGGACTAAAGTATAATAGTTGTGACCTTAAGCGGCTTTTAAATAACCTTCAAGGATGTTTTTTTTACCATCTTTAGCCAATCAGAAGACAGTTAGTAAAAATATTAAAGAATTCATTCATATTACTGAAAAGCTTACCACTTACTAATTCTGTCTAAATAATTTTTTCTCTACCATACTTTCTTTTCCAAAGGACTATTTCTTCAATATTTACAATTAAACCCATCCCACCTATAAACAGTGTTTCTCTCATCAACATTTCTGCTCACACTTCTCTACAATATTAATACTATTGCCCTTTTTTGACTTGGTTTGCATCAATAAAGACAACTGCATCATTTATCAGTATTTATGTGGTCCAATTCATTATTTAAAAAAAAAGTATTAGTTGTCTACAAGTCACTTTCCATCTCCCTCAAATGGCCTGTTGCAGTTGAGGGTGGAGAGAGTCCACTCTCCCTCTCGAAATGCTCTCACATGACCACGCGTATACAGCCACTGACAGGAAAGTCCTATTCATTGCCTTCTCGCATCATGGGTGTTGTTTAAGAAATTGAGGAGGAAAAACAAATGTCCGAGGCTTTAACCGGGTTGGTGGATATGGAGAAACCACCTAGGGGAGTTGGAAAACTCTCATTCCAAACTAATGGTGCACATGGGCTCCAGGATCCTAACAGAACAAATGGTGTATGAACCTATTGTTGGTCACCGGCCACCATGGGACTGCATCTCCTAACGTTGCTCCACTGACTTGTGGATCAATCCTTTAGTTCGAAGGCTCTGGGTATGTCCCCTTAAGTAAACCACCTGCTTCGGTCTGAGCAACCGGGCAGTATCACAGACCACACACAAATCGGACGATTTGTGTGGCACATATGTATTCGGTGCCCCTTTGTACCAATATTTATGGTCCAGATGAATAAATAAAATAGTAAGAATAAAGTCAGCTCTTACCAAGACTTCCTATGCCTACGTAGTTAGCGCTAAGGTATAACATGATCACATTTATCTTAATATTCCACTTGTCTTATTTTTTGCAACACAATCACAAAAAATTAATTTTCCCAAACAGTTCCTTACCTTGTATTTCATTTCATTATTGTCGGTATTAGAAGGTAGATGATTGATATTCAACGTATTCATTCGAATTACCTAATGTGACGCTGAAGTAACATTTTGAAACTTCATTAACCTTTTCTTATACTTTTACAAAATATCTCACTCCCCCCCCCCACCACACAGACACACACTTATAGCCGACTTTCTAACACAATTGGGATGTGAAAACTGACGAAACAAAAAATAATGGCGTCTAAAATTTGAAGCAAAACTAACTGAATTAATTAATATCATTGTATAGTAAATTAAATGTCAAAGATAAACATCAATTACACAATTCAGTGAGTTATAAAGCAATTGTTGGTGGAAAATTTAAATCGATCAAGTTTTATGAAACATACTAATTCTCAATAGTTAACTATCAACATTACTATTTTACTGTGTAAATTTGGTCCAGAATGTATAAGTAGAATTGAATACCTTTCAGATTGGTCAAATAAATATCTACCATAGAAAACCTGGAAGCACTGGACGGCCGTTTCGTCCTAGTGTGGGACTCCTCAGCAGTGCGCGTCCACGATCCCGCCTCCCCTAAGATTCGAACCTAGAATCCATCAGTCTCGCGCGCGAGCGCTTAACCATTAAACGTCTGAGTCGGCATCCAGCGGTGTTAATGTCTAACTTCAACCAGTCCACGAGGAGTCCCATATTAGGATGAAACGGGCGTCCAGTGCTTCCAGGTTTTCCATGGTGGTCTAGCTTCAATTGACTCATGATTTCAATTATTGAAATTACTAAAATCTCCACAAAACCCGTTCTGAAAATAAATATCTCACGAAAAAATTAATTCATTGTGAGATTTTTTCTCTCCAGGAAATCCCTCTCATTTCTGTTGAAAAAAGGACTCTAATATGGCTGAAATACTGTAATTCATTGTATTGTACACCTGTAAATACTTCCATTATTATATTATGTTCTGATAATAACATTTAATAACACTGTGTTGAACAAGTTATTGGCTGCCGGTACTCAGTAGTCTAAATGAACCACACGTTAGCCGTTTAAAGCATTGGGTACTAGGTCTGAATCTTAATGTGCACAACATCAATATTAGGATATGACAGGTATATTCATTTGACGAGTTTCAAGTAGAATGGAACATACATATGAAATTCCATTGCTTGTCGTATACTATATATTACTAGAATTTATGTTGGTGGCTTTTTCCCGATTGTCTTGTTCAACTTCTAGAATAACGTACCACCTTGTAGTTTATTGTATTTTTTAATTCAAGCTAAACTATAAAAGGGAGTTTGAACAAATTTCTAAATAGTTTTGACAAACTCTTAACACACATTTATCTGAATAAGAAAACAGCAAGATCATGTAAATCAGCGATTTATAATTCCAAAACTAGAATTCAAGTTCAATATTATGATCAGAATGGGTTTTGTGGAGATTTTTAGAAATTTCACTGGTTAAAATCATGAGTCAATTGAAGCTAGACCACCATGGAAAACCTGGAAGCACTGGACGGCCATTTTGTCCTAGTATGGGACTCCTCAGTAGTGCGCATCCACGATCCCGCCCCCCGCGAGATTCGAACATTAACACCGTTGGATGTCGGCCCTGTGGTCTAGTTGGTTGGACGCCTGGCGCGAGACCGATAGGTCCTGGGTCCGACGACCGCCCAGTGCTTCCAGGTTTTCCATGGTGGTCTAGCTTCAATTGACTCATGATTTCAACCAGTTAAATATTATGGTTTAAAGCTAGGATTTAAGGGTTTTACAGTTAGTCAATATATGTTCCCAAATTTCTTAATCCTAAATAATAAACTCTACGCCTTAACTCTTCATTTTAATCACTCCTATAACAATATAATTCCAAACTGAATACCTAAATCTCAAACCTAATTCTTAATTCAAATGATATTGTTTTTCATCATTAAAGTAGGTTAAGATATTTTCTTGAATTTAATTATTCATAATACAATCAAGAAGTAACAATAACTTAGTCAAATAATCTATTTTATTAATCGAGTAGACATATTGTTGATTCAAAATATATTCCGTGACCTTAGAGAGATTTATACATTCATCATTATCATCATCATTAGTTCACTCTTATAGTTCTGGTTTACCACTATAGATAAAGATATTAATTATACTAAATTGAACTGATACAAGGTTTTTTGTATGCAATGATGGATAGTGGCTAGCAGTGGAGTCCAGAATGCGCGTTTCGTCCTATTTGGGACTAATCAGCTGGATATACCTACATCTCAGAGTTGATGTTCACTCTGGAACTCGAACCCAGGACGAAACCCGCGTCCTGGATTCCACTGTTAGCCACTATCCATCATTGCTTACAAAAAGCTTGTGAATTAAGGCAATATCGAGGCATACGAACAGTATGCACATATGCCAATAACAGACTGATCAATTGCAGTCTTAAACCTCAATGGGAAGATACAAGTCAAACAATACCAAGTGATACAAAGGTGTTTCTCAGTAATGGTAAATGATAAGTATTCGATATTTAACAGTTGATTAAACTCTGTGTAGTCAGTTAGTAAAGTGTAATAGTATCAATAATTTGTAAGCAACTAATGTAATCTTTAATTTACGAAAAATGAAGCATAGAAATGATTAGTAGTCGTAATGATAATAACATCCATCGTACAAAATAAGTTTATAACCTCATTGTGTAAAGTGAATTTTTATGCATTCTTATCTGACTTTTGACTGATAAGTAGGTTTCATGTATCGTATCATCCAGTCTTTATACTGAAATCCTGTAGATTAATTTCTCTCCTAAACGAGATTTTTCTTCCATTTCATCACACTGATTTGCATTTTAATTTATTGATTGATTGGATAAATTAGATAGATCAGTTAATTTGTATCTCCTATCAAAATTACCAGCTTCCAAATGTTATCAGTAAGAAGTTGTGAATATTGTTGAGTTTCATTGAAATCATGTGCTTACTAGTGACTACCTTCGAGAGGAAATTTCCAGAGTCTTAGTTAGAATCCTTACCCCTTGATTAGTACGTAACCTCATTTGTTATTTATTCTCGAATCGATTTTTGTGATGCAATCTTTTCTATCCTCCTATAGACATATATTTTCCATATAACTATATATACGAATGTACAGCTTAAGTGGATGATTTCGTCGAAAGGAAGATTTTCTTCACTGAATTCTCTTTCTCTTATTCAACGACACTATGGATTAATTTAATTATCACAACAATAATTACAATAAAAAGTGTATTAAAACCTGAAATACTTTGGAACTCAATCAGTAGAATCCTATACAGTCAATAATTGAACTAGGTCACTGTTTTGAATTTGACTGCTGCCCACCAGATTCTACTTTATACGTTTCAATACCTGTTTATTCGTGAATACTACATAAGATATTTATAATTTTATTTGTTTTTTTAAAAATTATAATATTTTATTTTGTTTATTCAGGTAAAAGATTCTATTGATCTGTTTACACTTCGACGTCATGCTGTAAAAATTATTAGTAAACTAGGTGTACGAAAAATTCCCGGTGGTTGGAGTCAAGCATTACATGAAGCTAGTTTAATGCGAAGATTATCTGCTTGTCGACATGTGGTTTCATTAGTTGTTGTATTACGACTAGAAAATCCAGATAGATTATGTTTAGTTATGGAGCATTGTCTTGGATCAGTACATGATTTACAAGCTTCCGGTGTACCATCTCATACAGCTTTAAGTTCAGAAAATGAATTTGAATTAGATGAATTCAATGCTAAATCATCCTCTCCACGATTATCATATTTTAAACATCAACATGGACAATCATCAGATGTTGTATTAAATGAAAACATTTCAAAAGATAAAAGAAAAAATGTTGATTCTTCTGAAAAGTTGAATAAATCTCGTCGATTTCATCCTAGATTATCAATGGGATCTACACAGATCAATCAAGAAACAGATACAAAATTTAATAAATCAAAAAGTCGTAAAACATCATCCATAGAACAACCAACAAGAAAACGTACATCCTCTCAACAACAACAACAATTTCGTCGACTTCCTGAAGCACAAGCGCATGCCTACTTTTTACAGGTAAATCATTATTATCTTTTCCCTATAGGTAGTTTGTGAAGATTATTGAGTTTCATAATTTACACCACGAACTAATAATAACAATAATGATGATATTAGCGAATTGGTTGAAGCTGAACATGTAAAACGTTGGATGCTGCCGATTCAATTACTTTGAAAGGTTAGACGTCCGCCTGAAAATCTTGTACCGGATCCCCTTTGAATTAGGGTTATGGATCCTCACTAGAACGATACAGCCGTCCAACCCATTCTAATTTTTAATGCTTGGCCAATCAAGATCATTTCGTGATGTAAATTTTAAATTTTATTATTATTCGGATCCTATACTTTGTTCTTGTTCCTGCTCCCAACTGAGGGGAGGGATAAAGGCAAACGACCTTCAGATTTTGACTAGTTTTAGCCAGTCAGGAGACAGTGAAGATAAATGAACGATTTCTTATACTAGGACTTATGAGATAGAGTTTAGAATTTTCGCATTATAGGTTATATTTGCCTGTAATGAAAAATACTTTAACTCCACATCTTGACTCTATTTTGATGAATGCGCCATGACATTGAAGAGATTTGCATGCTCATCATTCGTTCGTAGGTATAATTCGGTATTATGACAATAAAAATGAAAAAGCAATAACAAACAACGGAAGCGTTTTTTTAGGATATTACTACTTTTTGTCCAGTCTTATTATAAAATTGGATAACTTAGCTGACTGATCCTAAGATGTGAAGATATGAGGAAAAACGGAAATTTATATGCATAGTCTGCTTAATATTAAATACATGAGATTTTCCTTACAAACTTCAGGGTACATATATCTTAACTCTCGTTAGAAGTACTCCTTGTTTATAATACTAACTTGTTCAGACGGTCTATAAATAAGTATGCACAAGTCAATCTTTTCAACTGCCTTATCATTTCACATGTTTGCTCTAAAATTGTACACCTAAATGATTTTTCCCAAATTTAGTTCATCAGTACTGTACATATATATTTATTACTTTCGAGAACCAATGGTACTGATGCTCCTATTCAATTATGTTATGTTTTAACGTTTATTAAGCTATTCCGAGTTTTTTGTCCTCCCAAAGCCCCAATCGGAAAATGAAATTCAAACAGTTAGTGGAATTTCTGTATATCCGACTAAAAAAATTGGCGAGACTATAATTTATGAACGAGCCAATCAAATTTAGGATAACAGATCTTGGATTTTGGTACGAAATCTACTCACTCATTTGGCCAGATAGCGTCTTAGTATTTTAGGTGATGTTAGTTCGTGATGAAAACCCTAAATCTAATTCTTGACCCTAACCATGATCTGTAAATCATAATTCTAACTGGTTTATAACCCTCATTTAACGGTAGTAAGTAGGTAGACACCCTCAAGGTTACTTTGGCGTCACTTAAAGATCGTCCATAAATTGTTGTCTCACCAACAAATTCACATAATGATTTATTAATTACAGGATCACAACACACCATAAATAAGATATTACTTGTGTCTAATTAGAACATTTACGGTACGAAATCTGATTAATAGGGTTATAATTCATTTACAAAAATTTCCTTACAGAAAAAAGGATATAAAAATAGCTCATTAACCGAATAGAAATCTATAACTTAAGGGAATATAATAAGCACATAAACCAAATACTTAATAAATACATCTTCGTAATGTAATTACTGAATCTCCCGCTAAAATAGCTTCTAAAGTTGGTCATCTTCATAAAAATTGGTACAATGATGCACCAAAATATGAATGCGCCTCATAAGTTATCATTGAATTGATGTGTTGGGTTGAGATATTGTCCAGGTGTTCAAACAGAAACATATAGTTTTGTTAAGAGGCCACAACCCGAACCTTTTAGCGTGGCCAGGCAAAAAAAGGTGTAGTTAAGTCAATAAACAACTAAATACTAGCTCATTTAGTCTAAATTCACTTAAATCCTAGCATAAATTAACCATTTTAAACAATTCGTCAGATTTTCCATAGCTGAAATTATGAGTCGATTAAAGTTGGACCATCATGGAAAACCTGGAAGCAAAACACTACTTTTTAATTCCATAGAATAAAAATATTAGTGTTGGACAGATAAACTTATACTATACCGTCGAATAACTTTTGTAATTTTAAGCCATTTAATTAATCAGGAGACGGAAGATTAATCTATAATTCATCATGTTAAGATTTGACATAAAAATATGAAGTTTATAATCCTTGCATTATAGCTGATTTCAGTTTATGATAAAATCTGGAACTATGACTCTCAATCTTAATTTCTAACTATTCTTATATATATATATATGATAATAAAAAATTTTATTTTAAAATCACTTGGGTAATTCCGTCACACATCCTCACATTATTCACTAATAGTTTTCTTTCCGAAATGTCAAATGGTCATGCAAGGGGCATGTGTCATGAAGGTAATGTAAAATTAATATGTGAATTCAGACTGAGCTAATTGAACAGTCTAACTTTTGAGTCCTTCTGTCCATTTTTTTAATCAATTCAAATGGAGATAGACCAAGTGTATTGTCACAAATAGAAACATATTTTTGATGGGGATAAAAGAACTCATCGTAAATCCTGTGAATGATATTGTTAAGATTTTTTAATTTCCCGTTGTTGATATTCAGGTCTACAGTTGATCAATACCTTTTGCCATATGTAGATCCTCATATAACCTCCATGTAGCATTATGCCACAAGTTTTGTATATTCAGTATATGACTAACCGTGGAATCCAGAATGGGCGTTTCGTCCACTGTGCGGCTTGTCATCTGTTTGTGCCTGGATCTCAGTATTTTTATATTCACATTAAGACTTAAACCTAGTATCTTTCACTTCTAACACCCAGGGAGCTATTAACTAAACCACTGAATCCGAATAACCATTGGATTGTTCAGTGAGTATAATGGTACTGAGTTCGAGTCTCGGGGGAAACGTCAACACGGATGCAGGCACATCCAACTGACGATTTTCATATATATATATATATATATATATATATATATATATATATATATATATATATATATATATATATATATATATATATACTATATATATATATATATATATAGTATATAGTATATTTCTGTACTATCGTCGTTTTTTCCATTCCTCACTCACCCTCTGCATTTCCTTTTCTAGTTAATAGACGGTTTACATTTTCTTCATCGTAACGGTGTTATACATCGCGATATTAAACCAGCTAATTTATTATTAACACCTGCACCAGGCTGTGGTTTAAGTGGTTTTGGCAGTCCAAATGGTACCATGGATTTACCAGATCATAATTGGTTATGCAGTACGGGTAGTCAATCAGCGTTTTGTCAACGTTCATTGGCTAATTTATTGGCATTATCACGTGGTTGGTTGGTGAAGTTAACTGATTTCGGCGTATCAGCATCAATTTCAGCATTTAGTACAAATGATATGGTAATTTTATTGAATGCATTTTCTTGTCTTTCTCCTTATTAGTTTGTTTATCTTTCCACCCTTCTTCTTCTCGTTCTTCGTGAGATCTCGTTATTCAAACAGAATTACGTGTGAGTCGGCCTCGAATTTATGAACTAGTAATTGAAGGTATTATATCTTAACTAACCAAGTTCAAAGTCCCTACTGACTTACATCGGTTCAAGTTGCACAACTAGTATCAGTACAGCGAGATAAAACTATCAAAACATATACCAGAGTGTTAGAACTAGTAACATTATCGTTGTTAGTAGTAGAATAGTTTAGTCATTGACGATATAACTCGAGAAAATAAAATAAATTAATGGAACAGAAAGTATAAGTATTTCAGGATAAACAGTTAATGCATCTACTTTTCCACTGGTTACGATAATTACAAGGACCCCAACCAGATAGTCTATATTTACTTACATAGCTTGGTCTAACAGTCACTCACTTTATGGATTCATATTACGTTTCGATTTGACTACCCCTGTCTTTCCTCCAACCCACGTTAGCAAATATTATTTGTTGAGGTAGGCAATGGTTGGTATATATAAAACGTGTTCCAAACTCCTCAGTCAATAAACATTCACTGTTGCAAATTCCAAACACATCCTTCGGCATAGTCTCTACGATCCTAGAAAACTCATCGAAGCGTTTTATCTAGTCAGCTTTGAATAGAAGCTTCCCAGGATCACTGACAGAAAAGGAAGAATTATGTGTCACGATTTGATTAAGCAGTTGTCTCAATCGCCACTATATTTAGCGTGTTGCTAGAAAGATCTAACAGATTAACATAATATAAAACTCTTAACATACACTGAACTTCTTGTACAGAACTAACCTTAGAGTAAAAAGATCGTACTGACATTTCGCTCCTTATCTCTATTGCTTGAGTTGAAGTGTGGAGGTAGTGGGTAAGAAGTTAGGAGTAAGTGTTTCAGTAGCAGACTTATCAGGTCATTACAAAAGATTCACGTAGAAAAGCGCCCCCAAATGCCCTGGTACGGCCGAGAGTGGGGAGAGTCCGCTCTCCCTCTCGAAATACTCTCACACGGCCACGCGTATATAGCCTCTGCCAGGGAAGTCCTACTCACTGCCTTCTCGTGGCGGGGGTGTTGTTTACGAAAATGAGAGGACGAAAAGCGAATGTCCGGCGCTTTAACCGGATTCAAAACCAATGGTGCACATGGGCTCCAGTATCCTGCGGGAACAAATGGCGTATGAACCAATTGTTGGTCACCGGCTTCCATGAGACTGCATCTCCTTACGATGCTCCACTGCCTTGTGGATCAGACCTTCAGGTCGAAGGCTCGGGGTGTGGCCCCCTAAGAAAACCACCTGCTTCGGTTTGGGCACCCGAGCAGTATCACAGCCCTCACACATATCGAATGAGATTTTTGTGGCGCATATGTATTTGGTGCATCTTTGTACCATTATGTATGTGTTGAAATAAAATAAAATAAACGTAGAAAAGCTGGAAAACACTTATTATAAACTAATGGCATGCATAAACTGGAGGATCTCGAGGTAACAATCGGAGTGAGAACCAATTCTGGTTTACGACTACTATATAAAGTTGTATTCTCTGACATTGCTCCACTGTCTTGCAAGCTAGACTTCCAGGTTGGGCTATTAAAAAAACCCGCACACCATGGTTTAGGCATCCATATAGTATCCTAGCTTATATACACGTGATAATGATGAATAATAATGCTTAACAGCTCAAAAGAACTTAAAATCTTCATTATTTGTCATTTTATTAGAGACTTAAATTTAAAATAATCAATTAGTCATGGTTTAATATCAGTTGGACAACTGAAAAGAAAAGCAACGAATACATTATATAGCTAGATATTTCAACTATCAGCAATGAGCATCTATTAATAGTATCCTTAATAATACAATTCAAGACCTTTAAGTCTCACATTGAACTTGTTCTCTTCAGGTTCATATGAATTCGAAACCTTAAACATTTCACACAAATTACCAGCCAACATCTTAATAAACTTGTTATATCCTATGACAAAATCGTCAGTCAAAACACCATTTTATATGAACTTGTCCATGTACTAAATCAATGATGCGTTAACCAGCAGGAGCAGCCTTGAGTCAATTCTGAGTACTTATTGGTCCTCTGTGTGGTAACTTCTCGCCTAGCCCAGCCTTTTGAGTTCACAACACAAATACCAGCTTCTGATGTATGAATCATATATTCTAGACATACTTGATTTATATGCAAGTAAATCAGATCGTATCACACCATAAAATGAAAAATAATGATTATACAAGATCAAGCCAAAAAGTGTCTGTGATTGTGAGAGACTGTAATTAATAAATTAGGAATAATTTAAGAATAGTAAGTCATATAATAGTAGTCTATAGGTCGAATGAAAGCTTATGATAAAAGGAATATGAATATATGTATATTCTAGGTACTTAATAATTATCTCATAAGAATATTCGTAATAATAGTCCATCTATTTATTTATTTATTTGGACACATAAATATTGGTACGAAGGGGCACCGAATACATATGCGCCACACAAATCATCCGATTTGTGTGTGGTCTGTGATACTGCCCGGTTGCCCAGACCGAAGCAGGTGGTTTACTTAGGGGGACATACCCAGAGCCTTCGAACTAAAGGATTGATCCACAAGTCAGTGGAGCAACTTTAGGAGATGCAGTCCCATGGTGGCCGGTGACCAACAATAGGTTCATACACCATTTGTTCTGTTAGGATCCTGGAGCCCATGTGCACCATTAGTTTGGAATGAGAGTTTTTCAACTCCCCGGTTAAAGCCTCGGACATTCGCTTTTCGTCCTCTCAATTTATTAAACAACATCCGTGGTGTGAGAAGGCAGTGAATAGGACTTCCCTGTCAGTGGCTGTATACGCGTAGTCATATGAGAGCATTCCGAGAAAGAGCTGACTCTTCCCACCCTTGGCCGTACCAAGGCATTCGGGGATTGGTAAGTATGTGTCGGAAGTGGGATTCGGACCCACGCCCACACCGTGGACCAGAATACTCGAGTCTGGCGCCTTAAACCGCTCGGCCACTCCGACGTGATAGTAGTTCATAAATAATCCCTAGCAGTTACCATTCATTTATTCTTCATTCGGATATAACAGAGCTAATTGTGCATACGATATAAAGCTACATTTATTTATTTATTTATTTATTTATTATTAATGAGGCAACTATTTCATACTATTAAACTGCATTTCATTCCACTCGGTAATCATACAACATTCGTCCTTCAAAAACGAACTCTTTATTAAATTAACAAATTAAATAACCTTACTACTATCATGATTAACCTGAATATGAATAGAGAATAACAAATATACATTTATTATAGAATCTCTCATGAGTTCAATAAAACAAATAAACAGATTATCTAAATTATTGTAACCTTGTATTGTGTTTAATGTTAGCAAAACATGATTATTCTACCAATCTGAAATAACCAACCCCTCTATACACACACAGATAAGCATATAGGTCACTTTGAACTATGGTTTAGATGACAGTATAAATGATGCTATATCCAGTTGCTAAAATCGAATTAATTATGAATAGGATCCGAATTTGAGACTTAATGATAAAAAGTGAAGTTACTAAACGGATTAATCACTTTACTTATCTTGTAAGATTTTAAAAATCTATTGGGTTTATATCTAAAATAAGAAATCTTGACACCAATTTAGAAAATCTCATTCGATTTTAACATTTTATTGCGTCACTTCTAGAATAGGTGAGAGATTTGTCTTACTTACTTACTTACTTACGCCTGTTACTCCTCGTGAAGGAGCATAGGCCGCTCACCAGCATTCTCCATCCAACCCTCTCCTGGGCAATCCTTTCTAGCTCCGTCCAGTTGTAATTCATCGTTTTCATATCTGTTTCTATTATCCGACACAATGTATTCTTTGGCCTTCCTCTTTTTCGCTTCCCTTCAGGATTCCAAGTTAGGGCTTACCTCGTGATGCAGTTTGACGATTTGCGTAATGTATGTCCTATCCATTTCTATCGTCTTTTCCTAATTTCTTCTTCAGCTGGAAGTTGGTTTGTTCTCTCCCACAGAAGGCTTGTCTGGTAAACAAAAAATGAATGTACTTTTCAACAGTTCATATTGTTCTACTTTAGTTCTATGAAACCTGATCTTTAAAAATAACAAAAATTCTTAGGCTACTAATACCCGATCGTACATACCTTCGAAGCGCATGTTAAGACAATAGAGATAAAAAGTAGTGAGTAAAGGTAAGAAACCAGTTAGTAAGGTAGTGAATGATAAGTCTACTACTGAAACACTTACCCCTAACTTCTTACCCACTACCTCCACACTTCGACTCAAGCAATAGAGATAAGGAGCGAAATGTCAGTACGATCTTTTTACTCTAAGGTTAGTTCTGTACAAGAAGTTCAGTGTATGTTAAGAGTTTTATATTATGTTAATCTGTTAGATCTTTCTAGCAACACGCTAAATATAGTGGCGATTGAGACAACTGCTTAATCAAATCGTGACACATAATTCTTCCCTTTTTCTAAATGTTTCTGAGAAGTTTCTTTTTACTGCTGATTAGCCATAACGTCCCCTCCCATCTTATTGTTCTCCACAGACTTTGATGAGAGATAATTCCTTACTTATTTAGATCACCTCTCTTTTAGTGCCGAGTGTTCTCTTTTTATCGTCTTTCTTTCCTAAAAGCATTAATGTCACGTAAAGTCATTAAGTAGTGTCTGGAAATATGTCGCTCTATATATACATTTCTAGAGAGAGAGCGAACTTATTTCACAATCCTCCATACTAAGACATTTGAGGTCAAACATTTTTAAATGCTAAAATATACTTACAACATTTCAGTATATTGGTTATTATTATCCACTTCAGTCAGTCACTCAGTAATAAGAAACCTGGCATATATGTTCTTCGGTTCAAATTACCACACTTTATATCATTCAGCACAACGAGATG